CCCCCCCCCCGCTGCTGGCTGCTGGTGGGACCTTCCTTCATTCTGAGCCACCCCCTGGTGGTCAGTGCACATCATAGCGAGGAGTTGAACTACTGATTGGTCAAACTCCTGAGGGGACAATTTGCATATTAGCCTTTTATTATATAGGATAGTTTAGAATTGGCTCATAACTGTGAAGAGTGGAAGAGATCTAGGGAATAAAAAAGGGGGAACTTTCAAATTTATACACAGAAAGTGATGAGAATAAGAGAAAATTCTCACATAAATCTAAAATTGCAGGCAAAATTTGCTTATTTTATCTGCCTTTGGAATGTGTTTTAGACTTTATATATAATATATGGTTTTCTGAAATGCCCACTGCTTCAAGTAAAAATAATGAAATGCCTCTATGGAAAAATAAGTAAGGTGAACCTGAAAAATGGCTTCACAAATGGACTGGCATTTTCTGTCTGAGCCTTCTTGTTCTAAACTTTTCCAAAAGGAAGAGGATTTACTTTAAATAAAGCAAATGACCACACCCATTTGAAGAAGGTCTCTTCAGTGATTTATGGAATTGACTTCTAATATCCCCTTACAATTCTAGTTTTGCAGAATCCTGCTATAGAAAAAATGGAGCTGTTCGGTGTATTTGTAAAGAAAACTATGCTGGACCTAACTGTGAAAGGTAAGCTAATAAAATGTACCATTTTCTGTGTGGATCAAAGGAAGCTTTCTGTTGCTTGTATTCATCAGCTCTGCCTTACTCCCCTTCAATAGATGCTGAAGTGGATGATTGAGAGGAAGGAGTAGGAGATAGCATTTCATAACCCCATGCCCCAGACACAGATATAACAATATGCTCCCTAGGGGCCCAGGCCAGAGCCACATCAGGATAAATGGACATGGAAAGAAAAAAATGAGTATGTGTATTTTAAAAAGATTCTCTGGATGGTTTTGGTAACACTCCCCTCTCTCTCTATCATTGAGAACCAGTAATATAATTAATGGAGAGTGAGGCTGCCTTGTTAAATAAAAAATAAATCATATCCTCTATTAGAGCAATAAGTTTAAAATACATTGCAATGCACTGAAATAAAATTGAAAGTCAAAATTAAATCCTCCATGAAAGCAATCCATTGAAATACACTGAAAAAAGCATGAATCTATTATTTAACTCAGTCTTTACACCATTTCCTCCCCTGGAAAAAAAAATTCATGAGAGTTTGCATTTTCTGAATCCCCGTTTGGTATCTACACCTAACTTTCTTTTTTTGAGTTGCTCTGAGCTCTGCTCAATCAAGAAAGGCCTCGGGGACTAAAGATGCGAGGCTTCCCACTGAATGATTTCTTGGCAAGACATTTCCCATTCTCCCCACCTGTCAACTGCTCACAGATTTCTATGATAAAATGGTTTCACCAAAAAAAACTCACATAGAGGCCTTATAATTTTCAACAGAAATGCATTAACAATGGTCTCATCATTGTGTTTAGACAGCAAAATGTTAGGTGGTGTCATAAAGACAGAGAGGGAAGGGCAGGAGGGACCAGTCCAACATCTAGTCCAACATCTGCAGTGTACTCACCTCCACACATCACACTCCCGACCATCCTGAATGTGACTTAGCCTTGGGATCAAAACATAAACCTTAAATGATAAGCCAACTCACTTCCAAAGAAAACACCCTCCATCTCTCAAAATGTAGTTCTGCAACTCTTTTTAAAAAGCCACAATGTTGCCCTGACCGGTTTGGCTCAGTGGATAGAGCGTCAGCCTGCGGACTGAAGGGTCCCGGGTTCGATTCCGGTCAAGGGCATGTGCCTGGGTTGTGGGCGCATCCCTAGTGGGGGGTATGCAGAAGGCAGCTAATCAATGTTTCTCTCTCATCGATGTTTCTAGCTCTCTGTCCCTCTCCCTTCCTCTCTATGGAAAATCGATAAAATATTAAAAAAAAAAAGCCACAATGTCTATGGTACAGAGAAAATATCTATACTCAGAGGTCATTGTTATTATGATTATTAAATGTGCAAAATGTGGATAATTCTTTCTCTAAAGGGTCGTGGGATTGTTCCCTTTTTAAAGAAATTAATCCTCACCCGAGGATATTTTTCCATTGATTTTTAGGGAGAGTGGAAGAGTGAGGGAAAGACAGAGAGAAATATCGATTTGAGAGAAACACACAACACACATCAATTGGTTGCCTCCTGCATTAGCCCTGACCAAAGAGGAGCCTGTAACCAAAGTATGTGCCCTTGACCAGAATCGAACCCCGGACCCTTTGGTCTACAGGCTGATGCTCTATCCACTGAGCCAAACCGGCTAGGGCAGATTTTTTCTTTTTTTGCTATAAAGGAAGAGGGAAAGTAAAAGCTGAGGGCCATGTGAGTTTCATCTTTCAGAGATGATCAGATTACCTTTGGTTGATTAATGTTGGTGACACACTCATTCTATTATTTCCTTACTGAGGGACCCAGGAATATGAGGCACTTGATTTATTCTTTTTTTTTTCTCAGTGGGGGTCTGAGAGGATTGTTAATCATCCAGAGGTGGAGTTTTTTTCTCACCAGTGTTTGAGGTTAAACTCAATTTAGTCTGATAAGGATTGAGCTGTATTCCCAGATAATGGGTGTTCCATGGCTCCTGTGGGGGGGGGGGGGAAACTAATGGCCTTAAATAGGTCCCTGCTAACCTAATGCAAGGCCTCCCAGAAGTGAAGTAATCTCAGCCCTAAGAGCTCATTTCTGCAAAATCTCACAGGGTGCAGCTAAAGGTTCTGTCTGCAGCAGTGGGGGTCCTGGCACAGAATAGCATGCCCACCTGAGATGTGGGATTATGGATGATAAAACCCTGGCCCACAGCAGAGGCTCCTAGGATCTCCTGCCATTACCCCATAAGGCTGGATCAGATTGGGTGCTTATGATGGACCTGGATTGATAGGATGGAGGAGAGAGCACTCGTTTGGAAAATGGAAGTAGAGAGCCTGGCTGAGTTTGAATCTCAACTCTAGCCCTTTGTGATCCTCCTGGGCAAGTTATTTTTGACCTCTAAGTTATTTCCACATCTCCAGAACGGAGAAAATGAAAATACCCACTTTATGAGACTGTTGTGAGGTGATGCTGCCAAGTTTTTAGTATGACACCAGGTGCTTAATACAGGCGCAATAGAAACTAACTGGTGACAGTAGGAGTCACTGTGGTCATTGTTCAGTTTCCACCACTGGCATAATGTGTGTCTGGGACATGGTGGCTCATTTCCCCGACTCTCAGTTTCCTTAACAGAAATTCTGGCTTTGAAGTAAATAGTGTCCTTCATTGATTGTCTCCTGTGTCTCATAGCTTTACATCCTCATCTCTCAGCCTCATGACCATCCTGAGAGGAGCCTGTAAAAATCTGTAGTGTTGAAGGTTGGACTGTGACTTCAGAGTTGCCACCAAACCTATCACCAAAAGATGTTCTTGAGACTTAAAGTAACTTAAAGTAGGTTTCTACTGTGATTGAGATTCTGACTTACAGAATAGAGAATTTGTTTTTTTTCTCTCTTATGGAAGACCAGGGGACAAGCTATGAAGATCAAATACAGTGAAATTAAACAGAGAAATGAAAGTACTAGTAACTGGCATCTGACTTATGCGAGCTTGGGCAAGTCCCTTCACTCCTGGACCTCAGGATTCCCAGCTGCACATTAAGGGGGTAGATCTGAGTTCCATTTCAATGAGTCTAATATTCTGTTTAGTGAACTGCAGCAAAGGTTAGAAATTCAATCCAGCCATGTATTCCGTAGAGGAATGATTTATGCTGTCTTGGGGACCAGAGGCCCAGTAAATTAGAGGTGCAAAGACATGAATGAATATGAGTAACAAAATTCATGAAACATTTTCTCTTGGGGATATCTCTTTGTAGATTGTGTGACACTTTAATTCATTCTTATCTTTATATAGACCTCAATTTCTAGAATTTAGATATTATGTATGATTGTGCTTCATTTGTTTCCTGTTCTTTCAGAATGGGCTGTGTATTTTTCCTCTTCCTGTCTTTCTGTGCCTTGCATAAAATAGACATGAATTGTCCCTCTGTTGGATGAATTCACTCATTCATTTATAGTAGCAGCAGTGTGGTCCAGGGTGGAGTGAAGGAAAGAACATGAGGGTCAGAAGGTCTGGGTCTTGCACTGTGACTTCCTAGCTATGTGAGGCTGGAAAACCAAGTAGCCTCTCAACCTCAGAATGCCAGGCCTGTGTGGCCTACCCCCCAGTTGTCTGTGGTAACTAAGTAAACTCACCCAGGGGAAGCTATGAGATACAAGGCAAGTCAAGGGTGTAACGACTGAACATACACCATCATTACAACTACACCAAAAAAACAAATGTAGGAATAAAGGCTGGAAGATCATATGCAAAATGTTGAACAATTATTTCATTAGGGCCTTGGGATTACAGGTGTGATTTTTATTTTTCATTTCTCTATTTTTCAAATGTTCTGAATCATAATTTTATTACTTTAAATGGAAGTTTTTAAAATGTAGTATCATATTACTAGAGACCAAGCCTTACTTATTTCCTTGGAAAGTCCTCCCTTCCTTTCCATTCCCAAGGCCAATGCCCTAGCCCAGGCTCTCCACACCCCACCCTGGTCTCCCCATTCCAGCCTGCAGTCCGCAGCAAACATAAAATCCAAATTTTAACTTCTTTGTTTAAAAATAGGAAAATTTAGCAATGCAGGTCCTCCATTCCCTCACAGCTACAATTTGGCAACAGTTGACAGGAACCAAGTAGCAGCTGACACTTAGATGGGACCTGCAGTCCCACCACTCACAGCAGGGCCTTTGAAAAATAGAGAAAAGCATTTGTTCCTCTGAGCAGAGGCAGCCCCACCTAGAGTGCACAGTTTGGCCAGGCCAGCAAAGGTTGGATGGATTTCAGTCACCACTCTCCAACGGGGCTAGGCTGTCTCATGAGGGGCCCAGCCAGCATGACCAAAGGCACCAGCTGTGCCCCCACAGCAAATGCAGTAGTTAGGTGCCTGGCCTCTGTAGACCCAGAGATCTAAAATGTCCAGAATAATGGCTACTTAGGCTCCAGCTCTGTTTCTCTGTGGTACCCTCAGCTCTGCCCTCTGCCTTGTCTCCACATTGCCTTTCCTCGGTCACAAGATGGCTTCAGAACTAAGAGCACCACCTGACTCTTCATTCTCCCACAGATGAAAAGAATGCCTCCCCAGAGCCCTCAAACAAGAGCCCTGGGCTACACTCCAATTGAATCACCTCTGAGCCAATCCATTTTGGACAGGATAGTGCCAGGCATTGAGCGGCTCAGATTTAGGTTAATCTGAACAATTCACTAACAGCAAGGTGGACAGTGACTTATATCGGTGTTTCTTAACAAAGGTATTATTAAAACTTTGGCCGAGATCATTCTTAGCTGTGCACTAGTAGTGGGTCTCATTTAGCGTATCTAGCACCACCCATCATATGCCAGCTGTGCACGCCAGTTGTTGGAATGACCAAAAACTCCCACACATTGGTCATATCCAGACACTCCTACATCTGGAGGGCTGGCCATGCTGAATGGGCTGTAACACACTGGGGAGGGGTGGTTCCTTAAAAACAAAGTCTAGTTCTATTAGGAAGATGGGAGATGTGAATGAATTCTGGAAAAGCAAACCACAAATATTAACTACGCTTTTATTCTAGGTGGGAAAGATTAAAAGGAAGAAAAACTATGGCTGTTAAATTTTTAACATGTGATTCCCCTTCAGATGTGCTCCTGGTTATTATGGAAACCCCTTGCTTGTCGGAAACACCTGTAAGAAATGTGACTGCAGTGGAAATTCTGATCCTAACCTGATTTTTGAAGATTGTGATGAGATCACTGGCCAGTGTAGGAATTGCTTACGTAATACCACTGGATTCAAGTGTGAACGCTGTGCCCCAGGCTACTATGGGGATGCCAGGATAGCCAAGAACTGTGCAGGTACAGTACTGTAAATCCTTAGACAGCCACCTGGATTTAGATGTATTTATCTTGGGAAAATGTCTCAAGTGACCCCTTGTCACTTTTCCAGGGCAATGCACATTCTCAGGAATGTGCATCCCATACTCACCCCTGGTGGATATTATCAAGGCTACTAATGTAACCTAGCTCATAAACCAAAAGACACTGACACAAATGAGCTCTTGCCTTGCCATCTTATATCCTTCCCATTTTGATCAAAGAAGAAAAGCAGACTTCCATGGACAGCCTATGATTGGCCAGAATTCTGAATGAAAACCTGCATGGTTCACATCACTTTTCTTATTCTGGAAGCTAAGTCCCATTTTTCAGTTATGTTTGGTAAAACTGACATTTCAGTGCAATAAGTGAGCAAATCAATGGTAGAGTTTACTCATCCCCAAATTTCCTCAAATTGTCAGAGCAACTATCTCAGGTAGAGTATAAGAATTGACTTCAGTTAGACTGAAATGTATACATTTCATTGATAATTTCTATAATCCATTTGCCACATAGAATAAAGCTCTTAATAGGTAAAGTTAAATTGCCTTCCTCTAGGAATAAGGCTGAGACTGAATATTTCTTATTCGTTTGTGACTTTGAGGGGAAGCAGGGTGAGGAAGAGGCATTGTACTCTTGTGGCATGCTCCTATTGGAAATCCCCTCACTAAAACAAAGTCCCACTTAAAAAGATTCTAAGTGTAAAGGTTAATATTGAGAAGAAAACACATGTGATCTTCAGAAATCACAATAAAAGTAAACATGTCTACAAGAAAGCAAAGTGCATAAAGGCATAATACCGAAAATGACACAGAGTAGATAGAGTGTTCTGTGTCCAAACAGACTAAAGAAGAAAAGCAGGCATCTGAAAGAGTGCTGGCAGCTCTGGCTGGGTGGCTCAGTTGAATAGAGCATTGTCCCACACACCAAAAGATTTTGCGTTCCCTTCCTTGTCATATCAATATTGTGAGTTCATTCCCTGGTTGGGGCATGTACAGGAAGCAACCAATTGATGTTTCTCTCTCACATACATGTTTCTCTCTCTCTCTTCCTCTTTCTAATATATATATATATATATCCTGAGGCAATAATTTTAAAAAACTGCTGGCAAAATCAAAGCCTTAGACATTGATGAATATTCTGATTCTCAAAACATTTACTAAACTTATGTTTAAACTACATAGAAGCAGGTCACTCTTAGAAAAGAAGCTAATGCTAAAAGCAATAAAGCATGATCTTGCTGAATGGTTAATAAATCTACATTTTGTGGAACATTAAACAGCTGAAATGTAATAAATGCATTTCCCCTTACAGCTAAATTTTTTATGATTTTTCTCTAAAGACAGTTGAGAGATGGGGAAAATTCACAATTCTACTTCAGCTTATTGTTGATAGCTCAGGAATTCCTTTTTAAATATCACAAATTAATTTCTACTCTGAAACTCTGAAATGGGGGTTTTGTTTTTGTTTTTTCTCCAAATGACTATCTTGAAAATCCTCAGTAGATGAATAGAGGGTTCTCAGGATTTCTAAATTTATGTAAATATGTTCCTAATTTTTTCCACGACATTATTCCTAGCCATCCCACTGAGAACTATCACTTGGAGGTTTGGAGTCAGCTTTGCCAAGGGTCAAGCACTGTGGAAGCCAAGATTTGCTCTTGGGCCTCCTCACTCTCTCCTCGCTGGACTACTCCTCCTTCACACCTGGCAATGATCAACCCCAAAGTTGGATTAAACTGGAGAGTCAGGCTGCAATGAAAGGCTGGCTTTCAGAGTCCAGTTGAATAATGGGCTCCATGATTATCTTGTATCTTGTGAAATTTACCAGGATTTTTCTGGACTGAAGCAGCTGTAATAGTCATGTCAGGATCCCCCCCAAAATTGTGAGAGGAGTCCTAGAAAATTTAAATTTGTTTTTGCCCAAGGGTCTCCTTTGAAAATTTCACTGGACTGGGGCTTAATTGGGTGAGGGGCACAATCTCGGTATCATAGAATATAATTAATGCCCATTGAATAATTATATACTGATAGCCAGTATTTCTAGAAACCATGAGAACATTACCATACTTTAAGCACTAAGAAATGAATCCCTAATCTCTTGTTTTTGTTTCCCACAGTGTGCAATTGTGGAGGAGGCCCATGTGACAGTGTAACCGGAAAATGCTTGGAAAAAAGTTTTGAACCCCCTACAGGCACGGACTGCCCAACCATAAGTAAAAATAACAGTACATGATTGACTAACCCCACTTTCTCTAATGTGCTGCAGGTGGAGGATTAAGGAACGTTATGCAATACCCCTCTCTAGAAACTGCCTGAGTTTCACCCCTGGCTTTAACCCTGTCTGTGCCTCAAACAAATGTATCCTAAACAAAAAAGATTCAGTTGTCCACTTGATTCTAATTTGCAAATAGGTGATTTACATTTAAACACCTCTACAAAACTTATCAAGTCTTTAAGTTTAGCATCTTACCTAGTGGATAAAGGCAAATTCAGAAACATAATTCCCAAAGACTGGGTTTATTTTAGCTCCCTTTCTCCCTTTTCTCTTCAGGTCACTAGATAATATGATATACAGACAATGCTTTACAACTCTGAGAAAACTGAGATACCAAGAGATTTCAGTGGTTTTTCCCAGATCTCTCCAAATCTAAAGTGCACCAGAAATAAAATATTCAGGCCTTATGAAAAGGAGCTGCATCTTTCTTTCCTGGATTTTTCTGTCACCTCCTATCAATCAAATAGTGATCA